GCATTGATATGATAATGTGATTTTTCCTTTAGTCTGTTAATACAGTGGATTACATTGATTGGCTTTTGAATTTTGAAATGGCTTGGCATCCCTAGAACAAACTCCACACGGTCATGGTATATAATTATTTTTATACATTGCTTAAATCAATTTGTTAATGTTTCATTAAGGGTTTTGGCACCCATATTCATGAGGGCTTTTGGTCTGTAATTTCCTTCCAGTTTGAATTATGTTTGTCTGGTTTTGGTATGAAGGCAATACAAGCTTTATAAAACGAATTAGAAAGTAGTTCTTCCTTTCTCATTTTCTAGAAGAGATTTGTGTATGTGGTATTAATTCTTTTTTTGAGAATTGGTAGAATTCTACAATCTGGGTCTAGAGATTTCTTTTTTAAATGTTTTCAATGTTTATTTATTATTTTTGAGAAGGAGAGAGAGCCAGAGCACGAGCTGAGGAGGGACAGAGAGAGAGGGAGACAGAATCTGAAGCAGGCTCCAGGCTCTGAGCTGTCAGCACAGAGCCCAACATGGAGCTTGAACTCACAAATTTGTGAGATCATGATCTGAGCCAAAATCAAGAGTCAGATGCTTAACTGACTGAGCCACCGAAGCGCCTCAAGATTTCATTCTTTTATTTGTGGCTGAATGTATATATGTATGTATGTATGTATGTATGTGTGTGTATATGTGTATACACATAAATACATTTACATATAAATGTATATTTATATATCTTCTTTATCCATTCATCAATCAGTGGGCATTTGGGCTGTTTTCATATGTTAGATGTTGTAAATAATGCTGCTGTAAACATAGGAGTGAATGTATCCCTTTGAATTAGTGTTCTTGTATTCTTTGGGTAAATACCCGGTAGTGTGATTCCTGGATTGTAGGGTAGTTCTAGTTAAAAAAAAAAAAAAAAAAAAAAAAAAAAAAAAATTTTTAACATGTATTTATTTTTGAGAGATAGAGAGAGACAGAGCATGAGTGGGGGAGGGGCAGAGAGAGAGGGAGACACAGAATCCGAAGCAGGCTCCAGGCTCTGAGCTGTCAGCACAGAGGCAGTCGCGGGGCTCGAACTCATGAGCCATGAGTCGTGACCTGAGCCAAAGTTGGACGTTTAACTGACTAAGCCACCCAGGCGCCCCAGGGTAGTTCTATTTTTAACTTTTTGAGAAAACATAGTGTTTTCCAGAGTGGCTGCACCAGTTTGCATTCCCACTAACAGTGCATGAGTGTTCCTTTTTCTCCACATCCTCAACAACACCTATTGTTTTTTGTTAAAATTTAATTTTAAATTTAATCAAACAACCATGAAAGGAAGTGGTATTTCATTTTGGCTTTGATTTGCATTTCCCTAATGACTTATGATATTGAGCATCTTTTATGTGCTTATTACACCATTTATATGTCTTCTTTGGAGAAATGTGTATTCAGATCATTTTCCCATTTTAAAATTGGTTAATTTTTCATTTTATTATTGGCCAGTAATTTTTCTGTATCTATTATGGATGCTAGACCCTTATCAGATATATGATTTGTAAATATTTCTTACATTTTGCGCATGTCTTTTCACTTTCTGGATGGTGTCATTTGAAGTACCAACAATTTTTATTTTGATGAAGTCCAATTTTTCTATTTTTATTTTCATCATTGTGCTTTTGGTGTTACAGCTGAGAATTCATTACCAAATTCAAAGTCGTGAAGATTTATTCCTATATTTTCTTTTAAGAGTTTTCTAATTTTTGTTCTCATATTTAGGTCTATGACACATTTTACTTTTTGTATGTGATGTGAGGCAGGGACTCAGCATCATTCTTTGCATGTGGATATCCAGTTGTTGAAAAGACTGTTCTTTCCCCCATTGAATTTCTTGGTACCATTGTTAAAAAATCAATTGATGATAAATGTAAGGGTTTATTTCTAGATCATCGATTTTATTCCATTGATCAATATATCTATCCTTTTTAGGGGGAAATTTTTAAAATTACAATTTCACTTTCCTTAATAATTATAGCTCTATTAAATTTAACTATTTTATATTGGATGAGTTGTGGTAGTTTGTGTTTTTTGAGAACTTGGTCCATTTCATCCTTGTTAGTGAATGTATGTAGAGTTTTTTGTGGTATTCCTTCATTAACCTTTTAATGTTTGCTGGGTCTGTAGTGATATCCCCTGTTTCATTCATAAAATTGATAACGTGTCTTCTGTCCTTTTTTCTTGGTCAGTATTGTTAGAGGTATGTCAATGCAACTGATTTTTTTTCAAAGAACCAAGTTAAAAAATTGACTTTTTTCTATAGTTTTTATTTTCAATTTTGTTGATTTATGCTCTTATCATTATTATTTACTTGCTTACGTTTCCTTTGGGTTTATGTTGCTCTTTTTTTTTTTCTAGCAGCTTGAGGTGGAAGTTTAGATTATTGATTTGATTGATTTGGTTATTGATTTGATTACTCTTTCATAATGTATGTATTTTATTTAGTGATACAAATTTCCCTCTTGGCACTGCATTAGCTGTGCCCTTCAAATTTGACACATTGTATTTTTATTTTCATTCAGTTCAGTGTATTTTTATATTTCCCTTGAGACTTCTTCTTTGACCCAAGGACTATTTAGAATTGTTTTCCACCTATAAGTAAGGTGTCATTTCTCTTTTGATTGTCTTTAGTTTTCTTAAATTTGACTATGATATGTCATGTTGTGGATTTCTTTGGGTTTATCTTATTTTATTTTTTATATTTATTTTTTATTTCAGAGACAGAGACAGAGTGAGAGAGAGAGAGTGTGTGTGTGCATGCACACACACAGCAGGGGAGGGGCAGAGGGAGAGGGAGAGAGAATCTTAAGCAGGCTCCACACTCAGCATGGAGCCTGTCACAGGGCTCGGTCCCATGACCCTGGGACCACCACCTGAGCTGAAACCAACTGAACCATCCAGGTGGCCCGAATTTATCTTATTTGGTGTTTGTTTAGCTTCTTGAATCTGTAGGTTTATGTCTCTTGACAAATTTAAGAAGTTTTCAGGTGTTATTTTTTTGAACACTTTTCAGCCTCAGTGAATGCATGGTGGTCACTACCAGCGTACTGGACACTCCTGTATTTTGCTCCTCTGATGACATGAACATTAGGTCTGTTGTTACAGTCCCACAGGTTCTTTAGGCTCTGTTCTGTTTTTTTTTCTTTTAATTTTTTTTAATGTTTATTTATTTTTGAGAGAGAGAGAGAGAGAGACAGAGTGAGTGGAGGAGGGGCAGGGAGAGAGGGAGACACAGAATCCAAATCAGGCTCCGGGCTCTGAGATATTAGCACAGAGCCTGATGCGGGGCTTGAACTCAAGAACCGTGAGATTATGACCTGAGCTGAAGTCGGATGCCCAACCGACTGAGCCACCCAGGTGCCCCTTCTTGTTTGTTTTTGAAGTCTGGTTTCTTTCTGTTTATCAGACTGGGTAACTTCTGTTTCTCTTTTTTACTCTTCACTTATTCTTTCCCCTGTCTGCTCTATTCTGTTGTTATGCCTTCCATTTATATTTTAATTTTGATTATTGTTGTTTTCAGTTCTAAGTTTTCCATTTGGTTCTTCTTTATATCTTCTACTTGTTTGCTGACACTATTTTTTTGTTGAGACTTTCTGTTTTTGAGTGTGTTTCGAGTGTGCCCATGATTGTTCTCTGAAGTATTTTTATAATAGCTGCTTTAAAATATTTGTCAGGTACTTTTATTGTCTCTGTCATCTTAGTGTTGGCAATCTGTATCAGTCAGAGTTCTCCAGAAATATAGAACCAGTAGGATGTGTATGTATGTGTGTATACAGATATATGTGAAGAGAGAAAGACTGATTAATTTTTAATTGGGAATTGGCTCTTGTGATTATGAAGGCTGGCAAGTCCAAATCTGCAGTTTGAGCTGGCAGGTTCAAGATCCAGGAGAGATGGTGGTACAATTCCAGTCTGAAACCCAGCAGGTGGAAACCCAGTAGAGCCAATGGTGCAGATGAAGTCTGAAGGCAGTCTACTAGAGAATTCCCTTTTACTTGGAGGAGGGTTGGTCTTTTTGTTCTCTTCAGACCTTCAACTGATTGGATGAGGTCCACCACATTATGGAAGGCAATCTGCTTTACTCTATCAATTAAAATGTTAATCTCCTCCCAAACACATTTACAGAAACACCTGGAATAATGTTTGACTGAATATCTAGGGACCCCATGGCCCAGTCAAGGTTGACACATAAAATTAACCATCACAGCATCTATTGAAAATCTATCGATCTTTTTTTCCATACAGTTTGTGCTTTCCCTGGTTCTTGGCATGGCAAATGAGTTTCAGTTGAAAACTGGACACTTTTGGTACTGTGTTATGAGACCAAGGCTATAAAAGTCAAAAGGTCTAGGAGAGATGTCCTTCTTTGCATTCAGTTTTTAGATTATGCCTGAGTGCTGGCTTGTGGCTTAAACCAGGCACATGGTAAGGACTGTTCCCTGGGGACTTGTGGACTTGCTCTCGATCAGGGGGAAATGTGGCATGTGGCTCACTGCCTCTGAGCTGCTGCGAAAGCTGCTACAGACAGAAGATCAGACTTGAGCCTAGGGCCCGTGGGCTCCATTCAGGAGAAATGTCTTTGGAGCTGACTGGTATGTCCAGCAGCCTGGGAAGAATAAGGGAGTTGTCCAAGCAGAGGCTGGCATGCAGCCTTCAAGGTATCCTGGGACCCTTGGGCTCCCTGGAACTACTCCTTGGCTTTTCGGCATTGCTGGGCAGTGATCAGTAGTGCTAAGTGTCCTTGGTCTTTTGAGAGCTGCAGTTCCCGTGAAAGCTCTGTGGGGCAAAGGCAGGCAAGTCTGATGTGGGTCCTTCCCGGACTCCCCCTGTCTGGACCTCCCACCACCTGAACTCTCCCTGCCTAGGCCATGCCAGGTGTTCAAGGTAGGGTCAGGGGCACTTCTGTAGCCAGGGCTATGTGTCTTGTCCACCTGTTTCTCCTCATCTCCCCCTTGCTTCCAGACAAATGATGCAGCCGGCAACACCTGGAACTGGCTCTACTTCATCCCTCTCATCATCATCGGCTCCTTCTTCATGCTCAACCTGGTGTTGGGTGTGCTCTCAGGGTAAGAGGCCACAATGGGCTTGGGTGCCACCTGCCCCTCTGTGTTCTCAGGCTAAGGGGACAGATGGTGGGGTCAGATATGGGCCTGTGTGACATGGGAAAGGCCTCATGGCCACCCTCTGTGGTGGTCACTCCCAGCATACTGAGCTCTGGCCAGCCTTTCCTTTGTGCTGCCATCCTGACCTCTGCCTTGACCGTCATCTGGCCCTGGCCTCCTTACGTCTGTCCCACCCTTGGCCTTCACCTGGCTCTGATGATGGGGGAGGGGCTGCTGCTACATCTCAGCTGGGTCTGTGGTGGGGTTTCTGGGAGTGGAGAGTGATGGAGCAGCCCTGTATCCTGGCTAGAGTGGTCACCAGGCTCTCCAGCATAGCCTTGACCCCTGGCTTGCTCCTCCTCTCCAGACACCTTTCTGTGCTGAACTCCTCCAGTAGAGAGCAAGGGAGGGTGGGGCTAGGAGTCCTTCCTGAAGGAAAGTGCTTCCTGACTCCACATTGCAGTGAGATGTGGCACACGGTACCCTCCTGTGGTATGGACCAATGGCTATAGAAATGCTTTGTGCTTAGGGGCACAGATGGGGCTGGTGTTTAAGACTCCTGTCCTTCTACCAGGCTGAGGAACCTGTGTTGGGAAGGCCTGGCCTGCTCTCTGCCCCTACCTTGGTGTTCATATCTCCTATAAGACTCGAGAACAACTCCTCCCTGCCCACCCTGAAGGTTCCTGCTCAGGCCCAGGGTTCCTGAGGGAGGCCGGGGGAGAGGCTGGTGGACCCAAGAGGCAGCTATCTTACTGGCCGGGAAAGGAACAGCCATTGAGAGGGCAGTGGTTAGGGGCCAAGGCCTGCGTGCTCTGGCTCTGGAATGTGTCCTTGGCCTCGGTCCTATCCTGAGGGATATGTCACTAGCATGTCTTTCCAAGCACTTGCATAGGACAGGCAAGCCCACAGCACGGGGAATGGATGTAGAACTTCTAGTCTAGTGAGGGGATTGCATGGTCGGAGCTCGACGGGGTTGGTGGGGAAGCCAGGGGAGGCCCGGAGCTCAGAGAAGCCACCTAGGGAAGGGGCATTTCCAATGAGACCCAAAGGGGGACCAGGAATGAACTCCATGAAGGAGGGAGGAAGGTCTCCCAGGCAGAAAAGAGCTGGGGTGGAGGCCCAGAGGTACAGAGGGGTGCAGGGATGCTCAAAGCTGGAACCAGAAGGTGTGGAGGGGAGAGGGTGCTGAGCTGGCAGACGGCAGGCTTGTGTGGAGCGTGGGCTCTGTGCTGAGGACAGTGCACAGTGGGGGCTGGTAGGAACATGAGTGGGTTCATGGTGAGTTGGGAGAGCAGCCTGCTCAGTCTGGCTTTTTGTGCAGCTTACCCTGGAGAACGTGCAGGAAGAATTCAGGGATTGGGGCTGTGTGGCCTCTCACTGAGCAGGGCCATGAACTTTGTGACTGTGTGGCCCTTCTCCCCACTGTGAGCATCCTGGCCTCTGGGAATGGGATGATATGAGATGGTTTTCCTTATTAGTCTCAGCTGAGTCCTCTCTCAGTCATCCAGGCTAAGCAGAGGGACCCCAGGGTTCTCTTTCAGGTTCTTCTTGGAGATGGCAGGGCCCCTAAAGCCAGCAGTCAGTGCACAGCATGTGGGGCCCATGGAAGCAGTGGTTAGATGCCACTGGTACAGCCTGGCCTGGGGAAAGCTCGCCCTGCAGGGCCCAGTCCACATCTGGGCAAGTGCTGCTGGATTAGCCGGCTTGGAGCCAACCAGCCTCGCGTTCTTCTTCCCAGAGGAGCAGGATCAGTGAATCCTCTTGTGGCTTTTCTTAGCAGTTAGAACTGATGCCTGAGGAAGGCAGGCCCTACTGCTGGCTACCATCTGAGAAGTGGCTGCTGTGTGCTGGGCCTAGATTGCTGCAGCAAGTTTTCACTGGTGGCTCTGACACTGACTCAAGCAGTGTTGTTACTGCCCCACCCCTGCACCCCAGGCCCTCCTACCTTCATCGTGGCCAAGGGAGAGGGGAGGAGGAGGAGAGGAGTCCTATATTCCTGCAAATTCAGGGTTTGGGAGGGATGGGAGGTCCAGGCAGGAGCTGGCTCCTCTCATTTCCAGGATGGCCACAGCTCAGGCCCTGGTGGACACTGGCCATGAGTTTGGGTCAGTGCTGGCCAGAGCTGAGCTCTCTCTCCTGCTGTGGCTATGTGCCAGGAGTCAGGCCTGCCAGGTTCACTGCACCAAGCTGCTTCTCTTGGAGGAGGAACAACTACTCACCTGAGACGAGACATTGCTATTTTGCTGTGGGGCTGTGCCCGCCTGCCCTTTGGGGACCTGGATCCCGCCCCAGGCCTGAGCTGAGAGGCTTGCAAGGCTGTACGCTGGGTGCCTGTGTGCCTGTGTGTGAATGGCTTCCTTCTGGCGGTGTGAGGCTGCAAGCTTGGCTGGGAGCCTGGGGCTGGGCTGCTGAGGGGTAAGGAGAGCAGAAATCTCTCTCCTGGTCATCTCAGACCTCAGAGGTTTGTCCGAGGTGGTTTGCATGGGCTGTAGAATGTTTTCCTTTTGTCTCTGGCTTGCCCTATCCGGTCCCTTCTTGCCCTGTTCCTGTCTGTCCATCCCCTCCTAGTAAGGGCTCTGGGTCTGAACCAACAGAAAAAACAAAGTGTAAGTCCTCTTGGGCAATTCTTGCCCAGAAGCTCTTCGTAGGATGGCAGGTGACAGGGCCTGGCACTCAGAGGGAGGGGTGTGCTTTGGCCTGCTCTGGGCAGGGGGTGTGGCATTGTCCCTGCCCTCTGGAGCCCCCTCTAGGGACTGCGGTGCTGTCCCTGTGTGCTGGAGGAGTCTGAGGAAGGAGGGTTCACCTGGGCCCTCCGAGGGCTCAGGTTGGAAGAGGCCGTGGTGGTGAGGCTCCCTGGGAGGGCGGCCTGTGACCTGCATGTCGTGTCCCAGCCTCTTCCTGGTTCCCTTTGCCTCTGCGTCTGCACACCCATGGGGTGGGCGAATGTGCTCACACTCACCTGATCTGCTTACTTTTGTGGACCCTGCACAATGCAGAGAGTTTGCCAAGGAGCGTGAGAGGGTCGAGAACCGCCGGGCCTTCCTGAAGCTCCGCCGGCAGCAGCAGATTGAGCGGGAGCTCAATGGGTACCTGGAATGGATCTTCAAGGCTGGTGAGAACCAGGGGCTGCTGCCTTGCTCCTGGCCTGTCCTCTGTCAGTGCCGCTGGAGCCCCAGTCCTGGGCCGGACGAGACCAGCCTGGAGAGCTGAGGAGAGCTGAGGCGTTGGAAGTGGATTCTCCAGCTGGCCCGGGGTCCTGACACAGGGCAGCCATATGGCCCTGGAGACACTGGCCTTTTTAATGGAGGCTTCTGGCATGGCCTAGCCTAGAGCTAGTTTCTGCCTGTCAGACTCAAGCACCCTTCCCTTGACCTGAGTGTGTTCTGCGCCCTGGCTCTGGGCTTTGTCAAGCCTGGGGTTTCTGACTGCCTCCCTCCCTCCCTCGCCCCCGCCCCAGGCCAGCATTCTTTCCTGCATATGGGGCGCCTGCTGTGCCTCCTGAAGCGCCTCTTCGGCCAGGAACTCACCTAGTGGGGTGGCTGCCCTCAAGGGAGGGTGATGTGAACAGGCCAGGCCCCCCTCGTGGGGCACCGTGTGGGGGATGTCTGTCTCAGTAGGAAAAGGGTGTCTGTCTCAGTAGGAAAAGCTCGGCCGTGAGCCCCACGGCCTTCTGGAGTCATCAGGGTGAGAAGGCGGGTCCAGCAGCAGAGGCGCATCTTTACTCTGCCGTGTTCCTGGGGACTGAGCCCTGGGCAGGGGGGGCAGGGCAGGGAGGCTCCCAGCTGAGGCTGTGTCTCACTCGCAGAGGAAGTCATGCTGGCTGAGGAGGACAAGAATGCGGAGGAGAAGTCCCCTCTGGATGGTAGGTGACCACTGTTAGCACTCCGTGCCCGCGAGCCGCGTGCGCATGCTTGCATGTGTGGTGCCGTCTGCTGTTGTTGTGCCGGCAGCTGCACGGCCGCCACCTTCCGCGGGGTCCTGGGCAGACCCGTTCTGGAGGTCGCCGCATGCTCCCGGGCAGTTGCGTGCCGTGGACCAGAGTGGAGGTAGCTGGCGGTGGGCTTAGGTAGCACACCTGCCGAGGTATCACCCGGGGGCTCAGAGGAGTCTGTGCTCACGGTATGGACCCGAGAGCTGTGTTCTCCAACACGACGCTTTACATGTGACTGTGTAAGCTCATGCGTAAGTCCACTGCAGTGAAGTAAAAGTGAAAGTCCTGTTCCTCAGGCTCACCCACCACATCTCAAGCGTTCAATAGACATATGGGGCTAGAGGCTACTGTACTGGTCAGCACAGATGTAGATCATTTCCATCATTATAGAAAGTTCTATTGGACTATGCTGCTTCTAGAAGCTTTTAAAGTTCAGGTTTAAACCAAGTTGTATCTGTGTCTAGAGCTCAGGGTGACGTGGCTCCCAGATTGCCACGGAAAGCCTCTTAGCACAGCCTGGGGCCGCTAGGGCGGGGATGAGGGCCAGAGTGGCCATGGTTACTGGCCTGGCTGCTAGCGCAGTCCCAGTGGCAGGACAGTCGTCCTGTTTTCACACCCACTGCTGAGGAGAGGGCCAGAGAGCTTGGCTGTGTCCCCTGCGGCCTCAGCTGGACCCACATCTGGGGCTCTGCGCATGTCTGTGCTGGCCCCTCTGCAGACCTGACTGATCTCTCTGGCCCCAGAGCGGGCTGCTTGGCAGCGGGCCACAGTCCTGGCCTTGTCCTTACAGACGTCTCCTGGTCTCCCTGGTAGCCAGGCCTTCCCCACTGACATCATCGCGGAGAAGAGGGGAAGTGGCACTCCCCTCACGATTCCTTGTCCCCTGTGCTCTGAAGACTGAGAGGGGCCCACAGGGGCCAGGATAGGAGATCCCCAGGAAGATGGTCGCAGGCTCGGCTGAGATGCACCCCCGCCCTGAGGCAGTCCCCTCCCCCTCCCCTTGTTTAAAGCAGTGTTGAAGAGAGCAGCCACCAAGAAGAGCCGGAATGACCTGATCCATGCCGAGGAGGGGGAGGACCGGTTTGCAGACCTCTGTGCTGTTGGTGAGTCTCTTTGGTTCCTCCTGGCCTGTCCTGTGAGTGGGTACAGGAATTCCCCTAGCTTCCGGCCTGTCCCCTGGGCCCCCCAGCCCTCTGGGGCCACCCTCCTTCCCTTCCTTCCCTACCGCTCACACTCCTGCGTCCACCCTGATGGCAGGAGGTACAGTGCCCTCTGCCCTCTGCTGCGTGCTCAGCGTTTTTCCCCCCGGTGCCGGCAGTGGAGTGAGCGGTGTGTTTGCCCAGCGCTTCCTGCCCTTTCCCATCGGTGCAGCCCCGGCTGCTCTCGGCTCTACCACCCCCAACGTGGACACAGAGCCTCGGGCCGCACCCCGTAGCTGAAGGGCTACGTGTGTGTTACTGACCGTATCGACCGAAAGGTTCTGGCTGTCTCTCTTCCCAGCCCCTGTCTGTCTTCTATGCTCCTGGGGCCTCTGGCTTCATCCCCTTCTTCTCAAATGGTAGAAGAGAGATTCTGGTTGCTTTATCACACAGCTCTTTTAGTTCCCTTCCTCAGTCTGGTACCAGAAGTGCCCAGGCCTTTTCCCACCAAATGCCCTGTTACTGTGCATTCTGCAGCAGAAGAGGGCTGAGCCAAGGGCCTCCACCTTGGTGGTTGGAGACAGGCCTGCATGGCAGTGAGCTTCTCACTGAGGCACCAAGTCAAGGGGTTGCAGGCGGACTTGGTCTCCAGCTGTCCGTGAGCAGGCCCGAGTCCGAGGTCTGCTTCTCATTATGTGGTTGCATTTATTTGCATTTATGACACAACTCTTTTTTTTAAAAAAAAATTTAAATGTGCATTTATCTTAGAGAGACATGCAGACAGAGTGCGAGCAGGGGAGGAACAGAAAAAGGGAGACACAGAAGCAGAAGCAGGCTCCAGACTATGAGACAACTCTTTGATGAAAGTTACTTGTGTATTTATCTGTCAGTCAGTCTGTCTCTGTGTGTCTCTATCTATCCATCCATCAATCGATGTGTCTGTCATCTAAGTATCTATCTATCATCTGTCAGTAATCTCTGTATCTATCAATCTATCATCTGTCAATCATCTATCTATAATTCAATCAATCTAGGTATCTGTGTGTCTGTCTATCATCTACCTTGTCTGTCTTTTTTTCCCCACACAGCCCAGTAAACCCATGTCAGTAGCTTGGGATTTATCCCTGTTTCTCCACACATATCAGATATAATACACATTTGTATCACACACACATGCATGTAGACATGCACACATACACACATGTAGAGTTTTGGGATCTATTCATGTTACAGATAGGCTTTCATACAAATTTTTCTATACCCTCTGGAGACCACTCCCCTCTGCAGTGTAGTTCTAATGCTGTCTTGTCAGTGGCTGCATGGTGTTGCACAGTATGGATTCACTCTAATTGTTCAGGGGCTCTCCGTTGACGGCCATTCATTTATTTTTAGGTTGTTTTATCTTCATCATGAGCAGCGCCACCGAACAGAACCCTATAAGCAACCGTCCTTCCTTTCCAGTGCTTCTGTCCCTGCAGGCAGATTTCTGGGAGCTGGGCACCGCGTCGCCTGCTAGACGTGCCCCCCCCCCCCGTTACATGCCGTAGCTACTTTCGACTTTACCTTGACGCCAAGTTGATGATGTTTCCTTGGAGCTGTCGTTCTCATTTCACTCATTACTAACGATTTTGAGCTCCTTTTTAAAAATGTTTGCTTCTGATTTGAATTTGGGTTTTGGTGAGTCTTCATATACCCGTCCATTTTTCCGTTGGGTGGTTTGTGTTTGCTAGTTAATAAGAGACTGATGTGTGTTGTGGGTCTGAGTTTTGTTACAGTTTTTACAAATTTATCACATGAATGTTGTATTTAAATAGTCCCCTTTATTCCTATTTTACTTAGAGTTTTTATTCTGATTTTTTAAAGTCTACAGTTTAAAATAATTTAAGCAACACCTAAAGTACCTGTTCTTCAAGGGTAAAGATAAAACTGTGAACCCATCTAGTAAAGAAATAAAAAGAACCAGGACCAGTTTTATAAATTATGCCTTACGAGGAAATCTTACATTTTCTCAGCGTTTCAAACTCGTTTCTATAGAGTTGCCTGTAGTTTCTCTTACAGTTCTTTTCATCTCTCCTGTATTCAGCCCTTTGTTCATTCACTCAGCAGATATTTATCAAGTGCCCCTGACGTGCAAGTAACTGCTCACGGCTCCGGGGCTATAGCACTGAACAAAATGATGAAGCCCCTTCATCTTCTGCTTTTTCTAGCCCGGCTGTGGCATCAGACCACGGGCAGTAGAATAGGAAGAACACACAGCATGTCAGTGCCACCTCTGGAAAAGGAAAAAATCGAGAAGGGCGGGGGCTTGGAGGGTTCGGGGGTTTTGGAGTTTTAAAGAGAAAGGCCACAGAAGGCCTCCCTGGAAAGGTCGCTTTTGAGTAAAAGCTGAAGGAAGTGAGGAAGTCAGGCCCATGGAAGGGAACATCCAGGCAACACGTGAGAGGAACCTGAGGCCAGAAGGAGCGTGGCACTTGTGGGGACTGTCTGGGAGGCCAGTGTGGCTGGAGTGGAGCGCTGTGGGTTTCGGGGGAGCAGTGCCACAGGGTTAGGGTTAGGGTCGCAGAGGGCGGGGCCCAGCAAGGACTGTGGCTGCTGGTGGGTTTGCAGAGCAGAGTCGCTGTCCTGCTCCAGTTGGGGCGCAAGAGATCCTCAAGTGCAGGAGGGCCAGATGCGGGCCCATTTAGAGGCCACTGTAGGGATCCAACCGGCAGTGGCTGCCGTGGAGGTGTGCAGTGGCCAGATTCTGGATACATTCTGAAGACAAACACACAGGATTTGCCGGCCAGCTGGATGTGGGCGTCAGAGGACTCGGGGCGGCCATGTGACTCAAGGAGGGGCACTGGGGGCGGACTCCCAGAGTCTGGGGAGCAGCTGGAGGGCCAGTGGGGGTGTCAGGTAGCACCTGTATGTGGGGGTCTGGCGGTCAGGCGGTCAGGCGGGAGACGTCGCACAGTCGCTATGAGGGTGTTTAGGCCCTTGAAGCCGGCTTACATCCTGCTGACTCTGCTTCTGCTTTTTCTGGTTGTTGGAACGTTTATCTTTGCCTTCTGTTTTATTAATTTGGATTGTGTGGGGTGAATATGTATTAACGATCATTTAAAATAACCCTGGTGTAGATTTCTTTTCTTCTATTTTCTTTTTGTTTTAAATGTCATTACTTTCTTTTGTATTTTTATTATCTTTGTATAGTATTTTGATTTACATATTATTGCTTTCCTAATTTCTGAAAATGTGTAACTGTTTCTTTTTCCTTTCTTCTTTACCTGCAAAGGCACTGAAGGCTGTGCCCCGCCCCTGCATACGGCTTTGCTGTGATGGCCTCCTTTTATGGGCTTTTCCATCGTGGTTTCTTTTCTTCACTCTCAAAAGGTGTCTGGGAATCTGCTTCGCTCCCCACAAATTTCTCACTTTTCTAACCCACAAACAGCCGTCTCCCCTCCCCTGCTCTCATAATTAGAACCATGCTTCTTTACTATTTTAGCCTGTTTTTTATTTTTACTTATTTATTTATTTTTACCATCCTTACCACTGAGATGCATCATTTCCGTGAGGAAATTGCTGTATTTGCCATCTCTCTGCCCCTGTTCGCCCCGAAGGTCAAGAAGATGTGACCTTTGCGGTGTTTTCCTCTTCTCCCTGCCAACTCCTGGTTTAGAGAACTTTGGTGTTTGTAGCCCTAGGCTGTCATTAGTCCCGTGGTCACCCCAGCTGCTTAGCACATTCCCAGAGGTGGGTTTGCTTTCAGCCGTCCTCCAGCCACTACCCCATAGACCTGTCTCTGCTTCCTCTCTGTCCTGTGCTTGGCCTGCTTCCCCGAGGCATGTGTGTGGGGGGGACCCTTGTGAGGGAGGCCTGTTTAATGGCTCCTCCTGCTGCTCTGTGGTATCGCCCTGTCCCCTTCTTTCCCTGTGCAGATGTAGCCTCGGGGGGCTGGAACTCTCGTCCTGGGTCAGAAGTTCCTTCTCTGCCCAGCACCAGGCCTGGTGGACTCTTCCACCTGTGGGCTCAGGCCTTCCTTCACCGAGGCTTCTTCTTTCCATGTGTGCAATGACTTCGTCTCCTCGCCGTGCTCGTTTTGTGTCCCGACTCCCCGTCGTCCGTGCTCTGCCCCTCGAGGTTTCTCCCCTCGGTTAAAACCCACTTGTGCTGCACCCTCCACGCTACTCGTCTGGGCTTTAAGAGTGAACCTCCTTTCCTTTCATCTGCTGAAGGGGATTTTATTTTTTCTCCAAGAAGTTTCTCTCTTTTACTTTTATTGTGATTGGTTTGGTGCCTCACACAAGTCCTTGGGATTCTCCCGATTTCTTCTCCTGGGTGTCTTGCAGGGCCGAAGGATCACGTGCCTCAGGCCTCAGGCCTCAGCAGGTTTGGGCGTGGGGCTTCACAGGGTGGAAGAAGCCATGGGTCTCCTGGTGCCCAGCACCCCCTTTGTCCTTCCCTGTGTGCTGAGGATGGCTGTGTCTTACGTGCTGGGCTTGTCACCCCTCCATCCGCTGTCACTGCTGCTGTTGACTGAGCCCAGGTGCCAGGCCCCGTGTTGTTGCCCTGACTCCTACATGGCCTGCGAGGTCCAGGTTCCCTGTTTCCTATTTTCTTTTTTTTTTTTTAATTTTTTTTTTAACCTTTATTTATTTTTTTGAGACAGAGAGAGACAGAGCATGAACAGGGGAGGGTCAGAGAGAGGGAGACACAGAATCTGAAACAGGCTCCAGGCTCTGAGCTGTCAGCACAGAGCCCGACGAGGGCTCAACTCAGTCACGGACAACATGAGATCATGACCTGAGCCGAAGTCGGCCGCTTAACCGACTGAGCCACCCAGGGGCCCCCCCCCCCCCCCCCGCCCCCGTTTCCTATTTTCGAGTGAGGACTCTCCAGGCTGTGTGGCGTGTATAAGGCCCTGTGCCTAGGGCAGGGGTGATGGGGGTTTGTGTTTTCATGGCTTGTTGTTGAACCTCACCTTCATTACCCCGTGCTGGTGAATGCAACAGCAAAGCCGTTTCTCCTGTGTCCCTTCACTGGCCTCTGGTGGGCTCACCAAGGGCGAGAACAGAGCTTAGTCGTTCTGTCTTCTCTCTGCCACTCAGGGCCTGGCGCGAAAACTCTGTACATGTTTGTGGAAGGAATGGCTGTTAGGCAGGGCTGGCGTAGACTTTTTATTAACAGTGAACTCCCTTTGGGGCATGATGGGCAGACATTGTATGTGGTCACGCATTGTTCACACGAGTGCTTAGCTGTGACGTCATTTGCAGGTTAATTTAATTCTCGATTTCCCCTAGCTTGACGAGATCGGATTCTTGTTCCTTGAAATAAGCCTTTTGGTTATAAAGAATATGTGTTGATGAAGCTAAACGTGGAAATGCAGAGTGCTGAAGAGAAGCAGCCTTGTCTCTCATGCTTTTCCCCTCCCAGAGCTATGATTCTGGATTTGGCATGTGTCCGTGCTCGCTGCAGACCCCTGCTTTTACCAAAGACCTGGGCTGGAGTCACTGTCCAGAGCTGACCTGAGCACACGGTGGTAGCTTCTTGCTGAGAATACTGTCTTCCGGGGCCTGTGCCCTTGTCTTCAGAGACCCAGGGCCCAGAATTCCCTGAGGCACAGCATGCCCTTTATAGTGGTGGCCTGGTTGTCCCTGTTCCCTGACCAAATGAGAGGCTGGCTGGTCTCTGTCCTGGGTGCTGCCAGGGTTCCCTAGGAACTGAAAGGCAGTCCCTCATGTCCAGAGTGCTAGGGCTTCTGCTCCCTGCCCTGTCCCTTGGACTGTGTGTTAGAGGAGGGATGGGTGGGCTTCAAGAGCCAACTGGGGATCTGTGGTTTTGTGCACATGTGGCTGTGGAAACCGCTTTGTGGGTATTCCTTTGATGAGTGAAGATGTATGTGGTTGTCTGCATGTGGGCACAGGTGCAGGATGAGGGGGGCCGGGAGTTATGACAAGGAAGCATTCCTATGAAGCTTTTGCATGGTTAAGGGCTCATCGGTTCTTGCTGGGCATGGTCCAGTGAGCCAGGAGGTGGGGGCCACGGCCCCTCCCCCGGAGAACTTGCTGCTTGTCTCACTGGCCACATGTGTGTGCACAGAGCAGTTCACACAAGTCACGCGTCCCCATTACCCTCCTTCCCAGAGTTGTCCTGTGTGTGTTCACAGGAGTGTCTTCAAGAATGAGATGCTCCGGGTGTTGATGCGTGCTGTGCAGTGTGTGTGTGTGTGTGTGTGTGACTTTGCTTCTAAACGACTCAAGAAGTGGGGGGGGAATCTGCCTGTGTGGGTCTCTGGGCAGTCCTGCGCGTGGCTCTGCCCGTGTGTGGGTCTCTCCATGTCTGTACTACTCTTGCCTGCCTCCCTCCGTGCCCTGTTGCTGCTTTTGAGGAAGGAGCGCGTGTGTCTGGTTGTGGCCTTGGCGCTTTGCAGCCCTCAGTGAGGCTGGCCAAGAGCTTTTGTTGAATGAGCTATCTCTGACTAATTGGCAATGGCTGGCGAGTAGTGTCTGGAAATGGACTGGGAGGCTGCGTCCTGGCTTATCCAGGAGGCTGTGATAGAGCAGTGGCCTTCAACGGTCTGGGTGGGGTGTGGCATCCGGAGTGCCAAGAATTTGCCACAAGGGCCCTGTGAGGTTTCTTGAAAGGCTGGCTGATGGGTCCTGGCCTGTGGACCCTTCCATCTGAGTCTGGGGCTGCGTGTGACAGCATCTCCCATCCTGATGCCACCGCTCAGTTTGTAGACAAGTCTCCAGAGGCCTCAGGGCCTGTCTTCATTTGAGTGAATCCAAGAAAACACTAGCCTAATAATGCTGTTAGTGTGCTGCTGAGGGTCTGGGTGTGCACACACACATGCGCAAATATATAGAACATCACATGACAAACACACGCTCCATACCCTTCCCCGGGGACTCCATGCCCAAGCTGACTGGCTTTGAACAATCGGAGGCTCACACGTGCCCAGGCCCTTATTGCAAAAACTAAGAGAGCCTGATGCACTGCAGAGACACAGCCAGACCCTGCACACATGCACACTCACGGCCTCTAAGCGCCCACGAAGACTGCTCACTTGCTCATCAAGGGGTGCATGGGCTTTGAGGCGAAAGCCTGTGGGCCTGTCCTCGCAGCGATTGCAGCCTGGTCTGGGAGCTGGGTGCAGAACAGGTCAATAAGCCAATACTGGGGCAGCTGGTACGCGGTTGTGATTATTGTTGGGGAGCTGATTTCAGATGGGGTGCCCAGAGAAGGGTGTTCTGTGGAGGTGACATCAAAGTCCAGACGTGGAGCCGAGAAGCAGCCAACTGTGGAAAGAGACCAGCAGTGGGAAGCATTTCATGCTTAGGTCACGGCACCGCAGAGGTGGTGTGTGTGTGGAAATGGGGGAAAGCCATGACAGCTTTGTGTGCAAATGTTCCGGAGAGTTTGTTGGGCTTTGTGGGCCATACACACTCACTCTGCCTCTGTACCAGAACAGCAGCCGTGGACCAGACGCAAACCAAGGAGCTTGACTGTGTTCCAGGGTACTTAAAAATAGGTAACCGGTGGTTGTTGGTCCCTGAGTTGAAGCAGGAGGGAGGGCCAGATGCCGCATGGCTCCGTGAGGCCCCCGGAGGGGTTGGGATGGCCTGGGGGCATTGGGGCTGTGCTGCTGGAAGGTGGCTGAGGGGTGCTGGGGGCCATCTGGAGCCTGGTAACCATGGAGACCACCAAGGCTCTCGGTTCCCCCATCTGTGAAATGGGGGTGGGGTCCGGACCTGGTGCAGGCGGGTGCGGCGCAGGGGTAATTAGCTCAATGTCGGTAGCACACCGGGTCTGACCCATGGTGTCTGTGATCAGAACCGGGGCCTCTGGCTAGGTCTGGGCTGGGGCAGGTGTCCTTGAAGATGTTTTCCTGTGGGAGATACAAGTTTGAGATGGGAGGGGAAGCGTGTCCTCGAGGCTGCGTCCGTGGGGCACACATCCATGGAAGGAGAGCGTGTCTGGGGGTCTGGTGGTCTCTACGTGTCCTCAGTGAGCTCCTTGTTCCCCCAGGGTCCCCCTTCGCCCGCGCCAGCCTCAAGAGTGGGAAGACAGAGAGTTCGTCATACTTCCGTAGGAAGGAGAAGATGTTCCGGTTCTTCATCCGCCGCATGGTGAAGGCACAGAGCTTCTACTGGGTGGTGCTGTGTGTGGTGGCCCTGAATACGCTGTGCGTGGCCATGGTTCACTACAACCAGCCGCAGCGGCTCACCACGGCGCTGTGTACGTAGCTGCAGCCTGGGCCTCCCCCTCACCTCTTCCCGAACCACCTCTGGTCTGCAGCCTGGAAATCCCGGTTCACGGCCTTTTGCCTTGGAATGCCCTGGGTAGGACCCCTGCACAGACCAAAGTGCCCCCAAGGGCATCTGCCGGGGCCTGAGCTCCCCATCCCAGGTTCCAGGAGGCCTAGCTCCTCTGTCAGTGTGGTGGGCAATGGTGAGGGTCCAGGGCACCCTGGGGGGAGGTCGGTGTGATGGGTGGATGGCCCTGAGTCCTCCCTTGGGAGGGCTTCAGACCCATGGAACAGGGCACTTGGCCCCTCATTCCAATCTGGCGTGAGGCTGCAGCTCGCTCCTTGGACTCCTGAGGAGAGAGTCCAGGCTTCTAGGGCCCTTTTGGCTGTTTTCATTTTGCTTTTTGCTTTTTGCTTTTTGCCTCTGAGTGTGTCTGTGACCAAGGCTGACTTACCTGTGGGCCTACGGACAGACCGTGAGTCTGAGTCATGACTACCTGGCCCTGGCTACTGTTCCAAGGAGTAAAGGAGGAAGGTGGCTGGGGTGGTTGAGGCCCTTTGCCCCTCTCTAGGGACCAGGGCTGACCTTCCAGGACCAACCCCTCATACCCTAGGGCTCTGCAGGCCACGGGGAGCCTAGTCTCCGTCTGTCGTCTCACCTCTCACGGGCCCTAAAGATGAAGACTCTCCAGTGGTTTCTGTCTTCCGGTTAGAGCCCCCACCTTCTTGTTCCCTGGCCCCCACGCTGCCTGGTATCTGGGGCTGATCTGGACACAGGGCCTGTTTGGGGCTTCCACAAGGGCCTTGCTCTTGCCACGGGAGCCCTGTATGCCTGAAGCCACCCTGAGGTGGGGTGGCAAGACCATCTTTTTCCCAGAGAAGAACCCTCCTGGATCCCTCCTGGCCCCTGGTGCAGCAGCCACATTCCCCTCTTTCAGACCACCGAGGCCGGTCAGTTTTAAGCAGGAGCTTGGGCAGTTCTGGAAGGGTTCTTACGAGTTCTAGACTCTGATGGCTCCACAGGCCACTTGAAAATATGGGTGTGGGTGGCTGTTGGGGTGGGACACTAGGCTATAGTTTCCCAAACTTGTACTGAACTCTCCTGTTATGTAATGGGGAAGAGCACAGAGGCAGCAGAAGCACAAGGGGCCCCGTGAGCTTCTAGCAGACAGTCTGGGCCAGGTCCCCGGGAGTGAAGTTCAGATGCAGTTTGTGGAGGCGCCTGGGCGGCCCAGTCGGTTAAGCATCAGACTCTTGATTTTGGCTCAGGTCATGATCTCACGGTCATGAGACTGAGTCCCAAGTTGGGTTCTGTGCTACGTGTGGAGCCTGCTTAAGATTCTCTCTCTGTTCCTCTGCCCCTTTCCCTTCCTCTCTCTCTCCAAAATAAATTAAAAAAAAAAAAGAAAAAGAAGCAGTTTGTGTGCATGGAACTGCCCGCTGTGGCCCCTAATTCATGTATCCTGGGGCCTGTAGTTTGGTGTCTTGGGACTTTGCTTGGGACTGAGGTCAGTATTTCCCTTGGTATCACCTCAGGATGAAGTTTCCTCACCCTTGGGGGTTGGGTAGGGACCCAGGGAGATGGGGCTTCCTCTTAACTTGGCCAGCAGTGCAGCTGTTCCCTGGGTCTTCTTAGCCAGGTCTTTCTTTCCCATGGAAGAAGCTGGTGGTGCCTAGTCAGTGTTGTGGGATTTGCCACCCGCATGGGCAGGAGGCAGCCATCACGGCCTGGTCGTGTATCTGCTGTGCGGGAGCACAGGGCTGAGAGTGTCCAGGTGCTGGTCCAGGCCACAGGCATCCCTGGCCGAGAATCTTCCCCCTTGCTGCTTTGCCTTCTCTGTGGCTCCCTGGGAGTTTCTGAGTCCCTTGGCTTTACCTAGGGAAAATGGCTGGCGGGAGCAGTGAGGGTATGCTAGGGTCTGCACACCTCTGCTCAGTGCCCTGCACTCTGTTCTTGGTGGCTGGGCTGGCGCTGAGGAAGGCTGACCCAGCCAGGTAGGGCAGGTCTTGCAAGAGGCAAAGCAGAGGTAGAGGCGGTCCCCACCAGGACTAGCTCCATTGAAGCTCCCTAGGGGGCTCTGGCCTGAAACGAGCTACCCTGAAGAGCGTGGGTTCTGTGCACCTTGGCTGTCGGTCCACTCAGGAGCCACCCCCGGTGTACCACCAGGACCCCCGAGACTGAGGCTTGAATGGTGAGGAGGGAAGGAAGTCCTGCCATGCTCAACTCTGTAGCTGGCGGTTGGGCTTTGTCATCCTGTGAGCCCCCTGGTCTCACAAGACCCTCTTGACCTCCCTCTCCAATGTCCCTCTGTTGTCCCAGCACACTGTCCTCTTATTATGACATAGAACACTGTTCAAATTCTCTGCCTCTGCTCCCCTTTGTGGTGTGAACTCCTGGAGAGACGGGTCAACTCTGTCTCCTCTGCAAGCTCAAAGCAGCACCAGTGCCTGTTAGTTGAATGAATGATTCTGGAGTGAACGGCTGAACACCCTTTCTTGGCCTCAGAGGGGAGGCTGAGCATATGAAGTCAGTGGGTCTGCTCCTCAGGCGAGCGAAAGGGCAAGCAGGATGTTGGGGGTTTCTGTGCCCAGTTGCTCCCTTTCTCTGAAAAAGCCTCGCCATTTGTCAGGTTCCGTGCTAGTTCCTTGCAGTGCCCTCACTTGGGTCTGCTGGGAGCAAGATCAGTGCCTGGGCAGCTGTAGCTCCAAGGTCTGTCGTGTGGGCAGCTGGAAGTCCCGTCTCTGTGGCCTCTTCTTCCAGGCCCTGACCTCTTTTTGTGGGGTGCCCCAAGGGGCAGGGGCAGGGGCAGGGGCAGGTGCCTTTGTGACCCTTGTGGAGGGGCTCTGGGGCTCGGTGGCCTTGGATCTTTGCAGGTTGCTGTGGTATTCCGAGCTGGACTTGGGGGCAGGGTAGCTCCCGACCGCCCCTCACACCTGCAGCTCTGCACAGCCAGGACCAGGCGTCAGTCATTCAGGCCTGGCTGAGGTGGGTTCTTCTGCTTAGGTCAGCGGGCATCCACACCTGTGACACTGGCTTCTTGGCTTCTCCAGGGGGTCAGCTTTGCCTTCTCATTACTCATCCCGTGCCTGGCTGGGGTGCCTTGGGGATTTTTTGGCTGGCTTCAGAGGCCACGCTTCTTGTGGTGAGTTGCTTACAGGAGCTGATTACCCATGTACTCAAGCCATGGAAGGTGGTTCCCTACCTGAAACCTCGGGCCATGCGGGCCATGCGGGCCATTGCGTATCTCTCTGCGGGCAGTGGGGCCGGTATCTCTGCTCCTCCAGAGTCTGGGCTGTTGCCCATCTGGCCCTGACTGAGGCATCTGGGGCTGTATAGTGTAGCACTTGGCAGAGAGCTGTGGAGGAGAGCAGATGCCAGTGCCCATAGGCAGGAGGTGTGTGGTCCCGTCTTCGGTTGTGTTTTATCAAGAGCTGCTTGAGGTCCAGTCTCCCAACCAGTCTGGATGCCAGAGGCCCCAGGAATGCTGGGCTGGTCACTCTCCAGTGACTGCACTTGGGGAGGAAGATCAAAGACAGTGATCTTGTTCTGCCGTCTGGAATTATTGGTTTGGCCAGTGGCAGAGCCTGGCTGGGCTGCATCTCTTGTCTGTGGCCTTGTGGAGCTTCCTGACTGCCTGTTGCTTATTGCTCTGACACTGCCTGTTGCTCAGGCTGGGTTAGGAGTTGTGTCTTGTCTGTGTGCCTGGGATTCTCAGCATGGCCCTCATTGCTGACCTTAAAGGTCAGCAGAGCTGGTGGCGGGACTCCTGGGCCGGGGCGGGCCCTGCTTGCTGCTGCTGCAGTGGGGCCCAGCCTGAAGGAAGGTGCGCCACACATGGGAGCCTCTGTGGGACTCAAGAGACTGAGGGGGTGACATCCTCCAGGCCCCCAGCAAGCATTGGCGCCTCCTGGGAGCCTCATGCTGGCCAGGCCTGGGGATGTTCAGGTGGTAGGTGAGCACATGAACAAAGTTAAAACCAAATAAGATGACGCAGGGACCCTGAGGGAGGTGTCGGGAAAATCTTTCCGGAAAGACAGGGTGATTCTGATGAGGAGGCTGAGGGGCTCCACTGTGATTAGAACATGGGGTGGGGAGCAAGCCTGAAGGCATCCAGCTTCTCCATGGGGACCCCCTGGGGAGTACTGTGTGGCCCTAGAACTCACTCCTGAGCCCCATCCCAGGATCTCTCCTCTTGTGGAGGCTGTCTTTGTGTGCTATAGACACTGGGCACGCATCCTATTTCAAAGTGAAAGAAGCATCTCTTTGTGCCCCTTCCAATCCCAATCTATTTGTTATTCCTGTCCTGGGCTGAGATTTCTGAGCTCAGGGGCCACAGACCAGGCCTGCAGGGCTCAATCCTGGAAAGGCCCAGAGGTCTTGTCCTCCAGTCTGGGCTGGAGCCAGGTGGGAAGAGGCTGAGAGCTAATCCCCCTCTTCTCCGGCTTCTCCTAGACTTTGCAGAGTTTGTTTTCCTGGGTCTCTTCCTCACAGAGATGTCCCTGAAGATGTATGGCCTGGGGCCCAGAAGCTACTTCCGGTCCTCATTCAACTGCTTCGACTTTGGGGTGAGTAAGATCCTCACCAGAGATGCCGGCTAGGGGTCCAGGAGGGTCTAGCTGTATCCTTGCTTGAGAGTGCACACGGCCCCCTCCCACTAAGCTGTACCCAGTGTGAGCTGGGGTCTGTGCAGCAGGGCCCAGGTGGTTGAGGGTACTGTGACCCTGTGTGGGTCAAAAAGGCTTCCTATAGACGGTGAGGGGCCTTTGACAGAGGGGAGGCCTGTCCTTTTCGGGCCCTGACTTATGGGGGTTCCAGCCACAGTCTATTCCCCACCTGTACGACATCCTGCTTCCCATCCCCGACCCTGTCTGTAGGATCTTAAGATCACTGAAGGTGCTGTGACCCTCTGTGTGCCTGGTACAGCAGTCTTTTAAATGTGCTGCTGTCCCATGGAGGGCTCAGTGTCCCCAACAGAGCTCAAGGGGACTGTGATCCTGAGTCTTTACTGTCCTACAGATCTGGCTGTGGGCAGCTTGGCACATGATTCAGGGGAGGACTGACAAGCCATGATGGTCCAGCCCTCCTCGTGGGCCCGGCCTGGGTCCCTTCACCAATCTCTGTAGGTCAGGGAAGTTTCAAAGGCAGGTGTTCCCAAGACTCACTGGGACAGAGCCCAGGAAGTGGCACAGGCCTTCCCAGGCCAGCAGAGCATGTGGACACCTCTCTGGTGCTGAGCCCAGAGCCCAGGGAGGCGTTCTGACCCACTAGAGGTTGTCAGTGAGATGTGGCAATGCCCTCCCCGAGCGAGGCAGGCTCACTCACACCTCTGCAGAGTTCTCAGGAGCTGGCAGGGGGGGGGTGGGGGGGGGCCCTAAACGTAGGCAGAAGTAAAACTTCAACTTGAAAATTCAGTGTGACTTTGACTTTTTCTGTCAGTGGAGTTGATGGAACATTGTGTCCACGGCTTTGTTAAACCTTCGCAAGGACTCCCACTTTGTAGATGAGTAACTGGAGAGGTGGTGTGCTTGGCCCAAGGCTGCCCAGCTACTTTGTGGGGGAGGCAGCGTGGACCCAGGAGTTCTGGCCCTGGAGCAGCGGGTTTACACCACGCAAGGCTGCCTGATCTCTGTGGGGAAGGAGGGGTGGTGGCTGCCCAGGGCGTGCTTTGAGACATGGACACCTGCGTTTCTGAGACACGCCTTCTTGTCCTTTGCCTTCTTAGTTACAGGGAAAGGCTGTAGTGTATAATAGGCCAGAGGAGATCCAAAGAGCTCAAGAGCTTTCAGAGAACCCTTAAACTTATCCTTAAACTTGTAAATGTGTTTGTGTCTTCTGGTTTGAACTAACTGGATCCCAGGACATGGAATGACTTACACATAAGCTAACAGATTATTCCAAAGTTTAGCAGCATATAGCGTGTCTGCTGGGTCACAGTTTTCCAGGTCAGGAGTCCAGGTCTGGCTTGACTGAATGCCTGTGGCCCAGGGTCTCTGAAGGAGGTCACAGTCCCGCTGACAGCTGGGATGCGGTCATTTCAAGCCTGGATGAGGACTGGAGAATTTGCATTTAGGCTCATCACATGGCTGTTGATAGGACAGGACTCGGACGACCGGCCTCCAAGCTCGCTCACATGGTTGGTGTCAGGCCTCAATCTCGGTCTCATGAATGTCTCCCGATGCTGCTTGAGTGTCCTGACGACGCGGCAGCTTGTGACCTGACAGAGAGACTGAGAGTACCCAAGACGGAAAACACAGGAACCCGGTCTCAGAGAGATGACCCATCAGTTTTGCCGTATTTTATTTGTTAGGAGTGGGTCACTTGGCCCAGCCCACATTTAACAGGGGTGGGGGATATTACCCAGGGACGTGAAACCCAGGAGGCAAGTGTCACTGGGGGCCATCTTAGAGGCTGCCTGCCACAGTCCACCATCTGGCTCCCAGTGATTCTATCTTTCCTAGTGCAGATACAGCCACCTCCTCCTGCTTCCCCAGCCACATCCCATCATGGCGCCAGCTCAGAGTCTAGGGCCTCATCGCCCAAATCAGGCCAGAGTGGCTCCTCAAGGACAGCTGCTCGGTCCCTCTCCACCCGTGGATCTGGTGAACTAAAGAGACGGGGTATCACCCACATGGTGGTGGGATGGACTTGGGTACCTGCCGTAGACAGTCATGTTCAGAGGGGACAGCAGGGTGCACAGGGAGTCCCTGGCCCATAGCAGTTCTGGAACCCTGCTGGGAAAGTTTGGAGACACCAGGATAAGTTCTTAAGGGCTGGGAAGCCCCTTGGGCTTTTTGTTTTAGCCTCTGTGTCACCTTTCTTGTTCCAGAAAAGATAACATATGTTTTCAGCTAGACAGTTCTCTCAGCCTGCTTCCTACCAGTAGAATTTTGGGAATCCAAAGGCCTATTTTTTGTCTTGTACTGTCTCCATCTCTTTCAACCCAAGCTGGTGATGTTCCTGCAAAACTAAGTCTTCTCAGAGCATCGTGTGTATGTCATGAGTCTTCCCGGAATTCACCCCATTTGACAAAAGCTGTCCCTACGCTAGCGATCGGCCCTTCCCCACTGGGTGCCCATGCTGAGCGGACTGAGACCGGGGCACATTTGGGCCCTGTAAGGCTTGCTGCTCAGTGGGCTGATGTGCGAGGTTCACCTCTATCTCCGTGGGGCTTCACATGGGACTGGACGGGGCTCTCAGGCTCCCGCAGTGTCACAGTCGTGCCCCTGCCCTGGCTGTTTCTTTGCACTGTGCCATTTCCTAATGTGGCACTATTTGCTGTCTGGAGATAGGGGAGCATTTCCAAAGCGGGCACGTCCTGGAGGACGGCACTTCCCTCTGCGTCTCTCTCTTCCCACCCTGACTGTGCAGCAAGAAGACCCCGGCAGCACCTGCAGACGCCTCGGAGGCCTCCTGGTTCACATGGCTCGCTTTCGTCTCTCCACATAACCGCGGGCGACCGTGTGGCCGAACTTCCTGGCAGTGCACAGCAGGGCTCCCTGTAGTTTCTTGCCGATGTCCTCGCTGTCCCCCAGACACCTATGTGAAGCGTTCACACTCCCTCGCTGTCCAGGACCCATGGGTAGTGTGTTGAGGGCGCTGTGGGCTCTCACTGACGTGCTGCTCGGGGCCCATTCTCTGGCTCCAAAACCCCGCCCACATCTAGGGCTTATTGTAGAGTGTGCTCCGCTTCTGTCTCCAAAACGCGTATTGGTTTTTCTCGGTGTGTAACAAGTCGCCCCAAAGCTTAGTGGCTTAAAACAACAAACGCTTGTTATCTCTCATCTTGGTGGGTCGGGAGTCACCGACTCCCGGTGGGTCGGGAGTCAGGTGCCACTTGACTGGGGCCCCCTGGCTGTCACTCTGCCACGAGGCTGCAGTCACCACAGGCTCTTTGGAGGCTGGGAGCTCATGCCTAAGCTCTCGCTCATGGCCGCCAGGCCTCAGTTCCTGGTCACGGGGGCCTCTCCTCATGTCCCACAACACAGCAGCTGGCTGCCCGCAGCAGAGCTGAGAGCATGGAGAAGGAAGCCAGTCTTTGGAACCGAATCTCAGAGGTGACAGCCCGTCACTTCCGTCACATTCTCTTTGCTCAAAGTGCGTCACTAGGTCCAACCCACCCTTGAGGGGACAAGGATATTCAAGGTTGGGGGAGACACCAAGTAGTGGGGGATCACTGTGGGCCATCTCAGGGGCCACCTGCATCAAGAACGAATGGGAACAAATTCTGAGGGTTAAGGGAAGACAGAAGTGCTGGAAGACTGGCAATAAGAATGTAGCTTTGGAAACGGTGCTCACCAGCCCCAGACAAACATCTGGAGGCTGCGTGTGTGCTGTGAAAAATTGGTAGAGGTGCTCAGGGTCGCCAGGCACAGGTGGTGGCGAGCTGGTCCCACTGTAGTGCTGCCAGCGCCACAGCAGGCCTGTAGGCGTCGGGCTCCCTGGATGTTCTCTGACCCATGTGTTTGTGTTCGACGTGAGAGAGATGCAGAGGACGGCTGTGCGTCTGGGATGGCCCACGGCTTGTGCACCTGCCAGCACAGACGTACGGGTTAGTGGACCGCGTTAAACTGTTCAGGAGTCTCCAGTCATGCCTCAGGGCCCTGGTCCTGGCACAGTCACCAGGCTCTCGGTGCCTGGGAGAACGTGGACGTCAGGCTGATCTGATGCGGAGTTGGTCAGGAAACCAGTCGGCCTGCCCTCCCTCTACACCCTGTGTCCTCCTGGTATGCACGGGGTGGGCACGTTGGGGCGCAGGTGAGCACCAGGACTGGTGGGCGCAGGAGCTCAGTGTGAGGCGTGTACCTTGTGCTGCGGATGCTGGGAGTGATCCCGCCGCACACACGCGGAGACGCTTGCCCGCACAGGCCCATGCGTGACACTCGCGTGCGTGTGCCTGAGGCCGACCCCGTCTGCACCACAGGTCATTGTGGGGAGCATCTTTGAAGTGGTCTGGGCCGCCATCAAGCCGGGAACCTCCTTCGGGATCAGCGTGCTGCGGGCACTCCGGTTGCTGCGGATCTTCAAAGTCACAAAGTATGTCACCTGTGTGCTCCCGGGTGGAGGTGGGGACGGGGAATGCAGGTCACGTGTGAGACTGGTCGACACAGCATGCTTGTTCCTAGGAATTCATGGTGCTGGCTTTGAACTCAGCCGTCTGGAACCTCTTTTTGTGCTTATAATAATGGTTTAAATACAAAAGATGGGTATAAAACACCTGCCCAGCGTGGCTGTGTCTTGGCCCTGGGGGCCTGTCTGTCCTCAGGGTTGTTCCTGACTTGCCGGCAGGATTCCTAGTTAGCCTGCTCCTCACAGTTTCATACCGTCCCCACTTTTGAAACCAGAGTCCCATCTTTCAACCTTCAAAGTTGACTTTGCTTCCTAGTTGAAGAGGAAAGAGAACCCATCAGATGGAAGTTGTTTGTTTTTTTTTATCATCCTGGCCCCAAATCTGCCCACCTTCCCTGCAGCCCCCAGAGAGGGAGGGAGGCCTCAGCTGACTTTGACCTTGCGACTTGAACCCCTGGTTCCCACACGGCTCCCGTTCCCAGGCCTGCTTTCTCCACCGTGTGCCTGACTTTGCCCTGTTTAGGCTGTGGCAAGAGGACAGTGACAGGCCTGTGTGTTCAGTTCTATTCCACTTGGTTCTTTATGTAACCCTGGACGCGACTTGCTGCATTTTGTCTCTGAGGGGGTGGGGCCCATGCGGAGGTGTGATATAGTTATTGAGTGCTGGGCCTCTGTGCCAGGGTTCTAGTGGTGGGAAGACGGGGAACACCTCACCCACAGCTGTCTTTCCAACAGCAAAGGCTGCCGTGCCCTCAGCTGGTCTTAACTGTGGCCACACAGCACAGCAGGGACCTCATCTACCCAGAGTTTCTGGACTCCTGTGCCATCAGTATGTAGCCCACACATGCTCCAGCATGGATTTCCATGCAGTGTCCCCCGCAGCCTGGGCTCTAGGTCACCCCTCCAGTGGCCTCTCAGGATCCCACTGATCTCCCCAGGGTAGATGGGAGTTCTTTTGGTCTTTTCCAGTCTGTTTCAAATCCAAACCTAAGACCATTTGAGGACACGATGGTGTCACTGCAGGAGAGTTTTGGGCAAGAGCTTGGCCTAGCTGGGTCCACAAATGCCACTGGATGCCTCGTGCGGTCTGGTGTCAGTCCTCTGTTGCTTCCATGTGCATCGCTCTGGGAGGTGACCACGAGGTCTGCCTTCATCTTGGCTGAGGGGCCTGGTGTCTTAGGGGCTCCACTTCCTTCTGGAAACCAGATGGCCCCTGTCCTGAGGTGGGCCGGCTTTTCCAGAGTCTTCCAGCCCATCTTCTGTGAACCCTTGAGTGCCCTAAAAGAGAATTCATGAAAGACAGGTGAGCCTCTGTGACATTGGCACCATTGAGGGCCCAGGGACGCCCAGAGGCAGGGTGCGCACAGATGACTGATGTCTGTCCTGCCATCCCCACCTTTCCAGGGTGGTGGAACGGCATGTGCAGAGGCACAGAGGCATGTGGCATGTCTCCAGTGGCTGGAGGCCATGTGTCCTGGCCTCTCCTGGGGAGGAGCTCTCCAGATGCTGGCGTGGGGTTGGACTCCCAGTCACTCAGTGAGTGAGCTGTCAACAGCCAGGCCACCAGCAGACTTCACTGGGGCCTGTGTGCTTGGGTCCAGTTGAATGAGAGGGACATGGTCTCTGACCTCCAGGAGCATATGAAGAGTGCGACGGAGGGGTGGGCATTGTGGGATGCCAGGAAATGGTCTCGCAGTGCTGCCCCCCTACCGCATGCTGTGTCCCAGACCCTTGGTGAGAGGGCATTGAGAGGGGCATTGGCACCGGGCTTACACCACCCATCACAGCGCTGAGGACCTGCTCGGCGCAGGCCAGGGGGCTGATTATGTTCTGGTGTGGCTCATTCTTGACTTGTGGTCTGAGCCCCCGCTCAGACACCCGGAGGCTGCCTGGGTGTTGAGGGGTGGAGAGAGGTCAGACACCGTTCTGCTGGGCAAAGTGACAAGGGCAGGTTTGAGAGATGAGAGTGAGTCCAGCACTGGACACGGGCTCTTCACCTTCCCCCTGGAGCCCCTGGTGGAGGAATCTGGAACTCCAGAGAAGAGCTCTCGCTGCCCATCCAGGTGTGGGGCCCTTGGGGTTTAGAAGGTCTTGGAAGCCACAGGTGTGACAGTGAGAGTCCAGAGCGTGGCATCAGCGTGAGGGTCGGGCCTCGGCGGACATGGCCAGGTGCAGACAGACCCCATGTGCCCCGACAGGTACTGGAGCTCCCTGCGGAACCTGGTGGTGTCTCTGCTCAACTCCATGAAGTCTATCATCAGCCTCCTTTTCCTGCTGTTCCTGTTCATCGTGGTCTTTGCCCTGCTGGGCATGCAGCTGTTCGGGGGACAGTAAGTGGGTCCTAGGGGGCGTATGAGGCTGGGGGCCCCCGCTGGGGAGGCAGAGCTGAGCGCTGACGTGTTGCCCAGGCCCCTCCACCTGTCTTCCACCTGGAGGTCCCCCAGGAAGACAGTGGCTCCGAGCACACGGCCCATTCACAGCCTGGGACAGCATGGCATGCCAGAGTGCCCCTGGATCCTGATGAGGCTGCCTCCTCCCGAGACTTCTTATTTTCCTCAGGTTCAACTTTCAAGATGAGACCCCGACAACCAACTTTGACACCTTCCCCGCGGCCATCCTTACCGTCTTCCAGGTAAGGCTTCTGGTTCCCTCAGCTCTCCAGGTGCTGGGAAGGCAGCCTTCCCTGTCAGCCCCTTGCTGGTGCCTCAGCACAACCTGAACAGCCAACATTTCAGATAGAACTTTCCAGAAAATAGAAGAGAACAAGCCGGAGATGAGCATAGGGAGGTCTCCAGCGTGTAGGCCTCCAGTCCCTGGGTCCCTGCCACCAGATCTAGGAACTAGTTCTGGAGGGAAGCTGGGTGCTGTGATGCTGTCCCGACAAGCATGTGTAGGTCCCTGGGGGACCCAACTGTCTAGTGGCCATTGGACTTCAAGCCACCGACTTATGTCTCAGCACCAGGACCTGGAGTCAAGGCTGTCTTTGACCCTTTGAGAATAAAACAGCCAAGCACTACCTAAGCTTCTCCCTCCTGTATGTCAGGTCCGGTGACCCTTCAGTTCTTTTTTGTGTCTGGACAACTTGGTCACCGTGACTCCTTGAGAAGCTCAGGCTCTTGGGCCATGTCCTCTGTGATGCAAACCTTGCATCAACTCAGGTGATCTCTGCCCTCGCAGAGGGTTCCCTTTTGAAGCGTTTAGCACTTTGTCCCCTTGCAGGGCTTTGGCAGCCCTGATGCCCCTGTGGCTGTCCTCACCTGTAGGAGGATGCCAAATGTCTCTGTCGTATGAACCTCCTTGGACACCATGCCTGTGATTGAGCAGGGTGGGATGGGTTATTGTTTTGCCCATGATGACTCTTAGGGAAGCCCAAAAGGCCATGTGTGCTCAGGCCAGGGGCTCAGCTTGGACCCTTGGTCTCTGGGGCTACCCTTGGTCTCCAGATTATGGCCTCTAGCAGCGGGTGGTCATGACCTTTCCTGCACAGTGTGATCTGCTCAGTTTATAGGAAGGAGTGCCTTCCTCCTGTGCGTCACTAGGGCTGCCCAGTGGGATCTTGAAAGGCAGGCAAGGCGAATTGGCAGGAGTGTGTTCCAGACACAGTAGCAGGAAGTGGAGGCTGGGGGCAGCGAAGGCACAAGGTTTGTGGCAGAAGGACTGGGGCTGGCAGAGGCCAGGTTGGGTGGGCCTTCCTTGCCAGGCCCAGAGGCTTTGGCTAGCAGGAGGTGGCACAGGGGCTCCCAAAGCAGGGAGGTGATGTGATTGACAGGGCTCTGCTTTGTTCAGTTTATCGCAACAGAACAGAAAGGTGCCGAATGAGGCTCATGGTGCTGGTGTGGGATAGAGGGGAAGAGGAGGTCAAAGCTAGGGGAAAAGATGGCTCTGGTTTAGACCTTAGACCCCCTCTCGTCTGAACACAGCAATAAGCTAATAGATACATCTAGAAATTAAAAGGACCCAGCCACGCAGAAAACAAACTGTGGGCTGGAAGTGGAACAGTGATGAGAGATGAAGAGACCCGGGCGCCCAGAATGTGGTCTGTGCGAGGCAGGTGGGCTCGGTGTCAGAAGCATCCATGTGGCACTTGGTATGTGGCCCTTTGAGGGGCAGAGGACCAGAGCTGAGAGAGAGCAAATATGGCCAGAGGAGGCTGAGAAGATCTCAAGGGCAGACAACGGGCCAGGCCAGGCCTGTGTCTTCCATGGATGGTGCTGGACGGGGGCCTGAGACCCTAAGATGGGAGCTCCTGCTTCTGAATGGGGCTGGAGGGCAGAGGGAGAGCACATGGCCTCGTGGTGAACCTGTAGGCTGAACCCTGGTGAAGCTGACCCTACAGAAGAGGGCTGACAACATCTGTAGCCGGAAGGTGAGCTCACTGCTAACAGGACAGGAATAGCAGAAGAAATGCAGGCGACTTTGTGCCCAATGTGCTTGAGCGCTATAGAGTGTTAGAGGAAGAGCTCGTAACACATAACACAAAATTAAAACAAAAAGTACCTAAGAACCAAGAACAGGTTAATACAAAAAAGAACTAAGCTGAAATCCTAGGAATGCAACAGATAGCTATTTAAATAAAAAAATTAAAAAAAAAAAAAAACCCAAAGGTAAACTATACACTGGATATGACCCAAGAAAGGACGGGTGAGCCGGAAGATGTGGAGGAACTGAGCCAGCTGCACCATGTCGGGTGAGAGAGCCGACAGCAGTGTGGTTCCAGCCAAGTCCTAGAGCGTGTGTGTTCAGAGAGCTGATCAGGGTGAGCGGAAGTCATGGCAAGCTTAGACATGTTGTGTTAAAGAGGAAATCTTAAAAACAACTCTAGAAAGAGATTCGCTACAGAAGAAGGACAGCCTGATGGCAGAAGGTTGGGGGAGTAACTTTGAAATACTGAGGAACAGCACCTGTCAGCCTGGAATGCCAACCCGGAGAGCCGAGGTTCAAGTGTGAGCTAGCACTGGAACGTTCAGATGCTAATACGGAGAGTCACTAACCCCCCGATTGCCGAAAGCACTGCAGACATGTATATATTTAGTAAAGCCAGTGACTTGGAAGAAAAAAAGAACATTATACTCACCAAGAAGAATTTAAAAATCTGAACTGTTTCAGAAGTTGAATAATTAAAAGCCTTCCCCCCAAGCCACCATGTTCTAATTTTGTGAGTGAATTCTACTAAATATTTAAGGAAGACATTATTCCAGTTTTATACACATGACTCCAGAGAAGATAAAAAGGAAGGCACCGAGCTCATCTTATGAGACTAGAATAACCTTGATATAAAAAACCATGACCGAATTAATGTGAATTTGCTTTATGATGAGTTACAGGCAGAGACTACAGGCAGGGGGAGTTGTCACACAAAGGAAACTTTTATTTGCGGTAAGTAAGGAGATCATGGGGAATAACTTCCAAAGCCATGACCCCCCATGTGGGGTGAGTGTGTTCCTTTGATATGAATATTCAGGAAGGGGAGCTTTTGTCAACATATATAGAGGTGGGTATATGGCCACTCATGCACGCTCAGGAAACATGCCTGTACACGCATCATCTGCTATGCTAGTGAGACTTGTGCTCCACCTCGGAAGGAGATTTTCACATTAGAAAGAGGTAAAGGGATAAAGGCAACCGCCTGCCGAGGTGGGAGTTCGTGACTGAGCTCAAGCTGGTCCAGGCTGGCTGAGCTCTTCCCGTTATTTGCCTCTGAAAAGTTAAGGCTAACATTCATGTGAAGAAGAAGGGCGGCCAGTGGGGGTCTTGCTGGTGACACAACTAGATAAGGATAATACTAAAATAAAAATATAGGTTGTGATCACAAACCCAGAGAGAGAAGGGAAACAATGACTAATCAAATCTAGATTTGCTTACAAATTATCATTATGATCAACTTGAGTTAATCCAGAAATACAAGATGACTCAACATTAGAAAGTCTATTAATGGAATTCATCATCTTTGCCGATTAAAGGAGTAAAAAACCCTGTGTGATCAGAAAAACACCTGAACCCAACAAGAGCATGGCATAGAGTGAGAGAACAGAGAAGCAAGATTGGGAGATTGGTTCACTGTTGAGACTGTGTGGATTCATCATACTCTACGTGTGTCTGAAATACACTTTTTCTAAAAAAATGGAATCACACGATAAAACCCAACATTCCTTTCAAGTAAAAACTCTTAGCAGATTATGCTGGTACCAGTGGTCGTAGTGCAGTAGAACAAGAAAGTGTGAAACAATTTCTCTGGATTGGCAAGGAAGAAAGAATGTTCACAGCTGGAATATTTATATACACAGAAAACTTGAGTGTTGTAATTGCTGACAGTATGGGACAATTTGGTTATCCATAGAGCAAAACACACAATTGGATTCCTACGTTGCACCAGATTTGAAATCAGTTTGGATAGATTAAGACCTAAATGTGAAAAGCAAATTTGAAACTTTAGCAGTACATAGAGGAGTGTAATGGTACTAAACTCAAGGCAGGGGAAATCCTTCCTAAGATTGAAGAAGCACAGATCATAAAGGAAGAGTTTGACAAATTTGACTATTAAAATAGAAATTTCTGTGCATCAAAAGATACTGTACAAATGTTTTTTAAAAGTCATAAACTTGGGGCATCTGTGTGGCTCAGTTAGTTAAGCATCCACCTTTGGCTCGGGTCATGATCTCGCAGTTCGTAGGTTCGAGTCCTGCATTGGGCTCTGTGCTGACAGCTCAGACCCTGGAGCCTGCTTCCGATTCTGTGTCTCCCTGTCTCTCTCTCTGCCCCTCCCCTGCTCTCTCTCTCTCTCTCTCTCTCACACACACACACATACTCTCTCTCTCTCTCTCTCTCTCTCTCTCTCTCTCTGTCTTTCAAAAATAAATAAACATTGAAAAAAATGTTCTTAATGTCATAAACTTGGAGAAGACATTTTCACAGTATTAGCAAATAGCCATCGAAGGGTTAGTGTCCAGAATATATCAAGAACTTCCACAAATCAAAAAGAAAAGACAAATAATGTAGTGGGAAAAGCAGAGTGTAACCAAGCATCTCACAGGAGAGGATGTTGGGCTGATGAATGAGCCTGTAAGGACTATTACCAGCGTTCCTAGTAGTCAGGGAGATGCAAATTCAACCCATCTTGAGATAGCCTACCTGTCTGTCAGTTTAGCAGAAATTAAACCCAACAATACCAGGTTTAGAGAAGATGTGGAGACATGCGGGTGACTTTATGCTGTTGCTGGGCTGATGGAACCACTTTGGAAAGTGATTTCATAAAATCTAATAACTAGAACTTACATATGAGTAGTTCCTGTTGTGGGTCTGTGCTCTGGAAAGTCTCCCACCCAATTGCACAAGGAGACACTTGTGAGACGTTGTAGCAACATTATTTATAATAGCAAACAACTGGGAGTCGCCACAAAGTTCATCAACAGGAGAATCGATGAGAAAAGTGTGTTGTGTTATCCGTACAGCAGGAAAATGAATGACCTAGAATTAAATGTATTAACATGGATGAATCTCGCAAGTATAATATTAAGCAAAAAAGAATAAGATTCAGAATAATACACAACATATGATACTATTTAAATAAGGATGAAGGGGCGCCTGGGTGGCGCAGTCGGTTAAGCGTCCGACTTCAGCCAGGTCACGATCTCGCGGTCCATGAGTTCGAGCCCCGCGTCAGGCTCTGGGCTGATGGCTCGGAGCCTGGAGCCTGTTTCCGATTCTGTGTCTCCCTCTCTCTCTGCCCCTCCCCCGTTCATGCTCTGTCTCTCTGTGTCCCAAAAAATAAATAAATGTTGAAAAAAAAATTTAAATAAGGATGAAAACATGCCAAACAATATTGCTTATGGCATATATGCATGAAAGTATAAAAGCTTGTGTGGGAATGATAAATACCAGATTCAGGGTGTGCCGTGTCGCTGGGGGCTGGGCTGGGGGAATGGGAAGGGGGAGGGGGTTCCACTCAAGGAGTGCCACCTCCCTTTGAATGCTTCAGTTCTCAGGCCGGGGAGTGGGTACACGGAGGGTTGTTAAAATTTATTCATCATACCTTTCTGAACGTTTGAAATAGTACATAAATAAAAAATAAAAGGACACAGAAAGATGAACTAAGTAGACATTAACCAAAGGAAAGCTGGTGTAATATTAACATCAGCCAGAATAGAAGTTAAGGGAAAAAAAGCCTTAGTAAAAATAAAGAAGTATATTACATAACGACGAAAAGAAGACAGCAATCCTGAATCTGCATGACCTACCAACACGGCCTAAAAATACACTGAG